GCTTTGAGTTTCCCCATGCCTCTAGAAAGCTCTGCTTGGGAGAAAGGGCAGCCCGGCACTCTGGACCGCCTGTGGTTACGGAAGTGTGCGGGAGGATGAGGCTCGGCCGGGGTGCCCTGGTCTGGACGCCTTTCCTCCCCAGGTCCCTTGTAATCCGCAGTCCCTGTCGACGCGGGAGTGTCGCAACTTGGAGAGCCTGTAAGGCAGTCTCGATGGGTGGACACAGTACCTGGGAGCCCCCAACAGTTGCTGGGCGGCCGCGCTGGAATCCAGGCCCATCTCCAGGAGATGCTCTGGCCTGCAGCCTAGTGCTCCCTGGGAACAGGGAGGTGGGGGTGAGCTGCGGGCCCTGGGACGGAGGGACAGTCAGAGGGAGAGAGGGAAGGAGGCATCGAGCCAGTGCAGGCGTTGCTGTGCTGGCACAAAGCTGTGGTCGGGAAAGCGTCGTCCCTGCTCACACATGATCATGGAGCGGTGGAAGTGGGACCCGACGCTCGTGGTGTTGGCGGGCGCAGCTCCTGTGCTGCTGTGGCTGGGAGGGACACAGGTGGCAGAAGGTGCAGGCTCCGTGCGGACCCTGTGGCTCCTCGCCCACCTGCTCCTCCACCTTGTTGGGTTTCTATTTGTGGCCTCTGTGCTTGTCCCCTGCCCAGGCACATGTAACACCAAGGAGGCCCTGCGAGTGTGCCCTGCTCCTTGGCCGGCTGCTCTGTTAGGGGACACTGAGCCTGCCCTGGGAGCGCCCTGAGACCCTGAGGCTGTGAGCCCAGAGCACAGGCCCTGGAGCGAAGGCTGAGGTCCCCTGGACTTCCGAGTGGCCCTCCTGGTGGCCATGCAGGCTCATTCCTCAGCTATGACGTGCTGTGTCCGGCTGCACCCCCAGGGCATCTGCCCTGTCCCCACGTGCGTGGCCACAGGCGGGGGCAGCAGATGTCTCCTTCGCTGGGACTTCTTTTGTCCCATCCCAGCTCCTGGGCCTCAGGGGCTGACCCTTTCCCACCGCCTCCCCAGCCTATGTGCCCTTGGGGTGAGTGGGGCTTGGCCTTTCTTCCCTCCACACTTGGACCCTGAGATGGGGCCCCCCTGTAGGCCAGGCACCCTGTCCATCTGCAGCATTCCAGGCTCCTCCATCAGACACCCAAAGGCTTTTCAAGTGAGGTCTCCACCCCTGGGACTTCAGGTCAGATTATGGGATCAAATTCTAGCTTCATTCATTTATGTTTTTTTTTTAAACTTTTTTATTTTTTATTTTGGTACCAGGGATTGGACTTGAGTCCTTGAGCTTTCGAGGCAGGTAGCAGAACCACTGAGCTAAATCCCCGGCCCTCATTCATCTACGTTGATATTTTTTCTTTTTTTTTTTTTTGTTCTGAAAATTGAACCTACAGCCAACTGCACTCTAGGTAAACCTCTGCTGCGAGCTATGTCCCAACACTTTTTATTTTTATTTTGAGACAGTCTCATTAAGTTGTCCAGGTTGGGCTTGAACTTGAGGTTCTTCTGTCTCAGCCTCCCGAGTACCTAGGATTACTGGTGTGCACCCCATGAACAGTATTTCATCCTTTCAGTGGGCTCAGACATGTGACCCTACTGTCTCTGCCTCTCAGGTTGTTGGGATTACAGGTGTGCCCCTAGACACCTGGCTCTGAATTTTCTGGGTGTGTTTTGCAGCAGACTTGACAGTGGGTGTGTGCACGCTGCATACTCAGGCTTCTCCATCCCTGTGACTTGCTGCCTTGTTATGGGAGGGCTTCATAACCCAGAGCCTGGGCGTCCCCACACCTGTCAGATGTAGCCCTGAGCAATGGCTCGGGTGAGATCACCTTGTTCTGTGCGGGACATCTGGAGTGGCCAGGGCCATGGCAGGTCCTCAAAGTCTGCTGAGCTGCACATTCAGGGCCCCACACATCCTGGCCTTTCTGGAGCAGCCACCCTGCCTAGTAGCATCAAAGTGCAAGACCTGCTGTGCTCCTGTAGAAGCTCTGGTGAAGGTTCAAGGCCCCAGCAGCCTGGCAGCCTCCTCCCCAGGGGCAGAGCTGGCACCAGAGCAGGCACAGAGGGAAGGTGAAAGGGCTGGACATCGCGGACTTGGGCAGCCCCACTGGCCAGGGCTGACATCTTGTGAGTCTGGTGGCCAGCACATCCTTCGACATGCTCAGTGACAGGGAACTCCCTGATAGTTGTGCGCGGGACTTGGGGCCTGTGGAAGGTGAGTGTGGGTCCCACGACATGGGTCATAGGAGGCATAAGAAACGTGCCAGAGTGGACCCCTCAGCCCACCAGGGCAAGAGGGAGGCAGCACACACTCGTGTCACGTCAGTGTGCCAGCTTGTGTGATGTTGCCAGAGCTGGCCTGTGTGACATGAAGGAGGGAGCTGGAGCTGTGCAGGGGCGACTGGGGCCCACAGACCTCAGCAACACCCTCCAGAAGCACCGGGGGCCAGGCCACAGGCCCAGCAGGGCCCAGACCAGCCTCCCTCTCTAACAGGAACAGGGTGCCCTGGGGCTGGCCTGGGGCCTCTGCCTAACTGGACTCCAGGAAGCAGGTGGAATCATTTCTGAAAGGTAGGCAGGGAGGAAAGCTCAGGAATGGCCTCGCTCTCAGACCCTCAGGCCCAGGAAGTGGGGAGATGTTTGGTCCTGTCTGGGCCCTCATCCTGGGCTTTTTCTCCAAGTGCAGAGGCTGCCCTTCCTCGAGAGTGCACACCACTACATCTAGAAACTGGGAGCAGGAAGGTGGGGTGTGCACAGGAATCCCAGGCTTGATGTCCCACAGATGCCACCCTGGGGAAGTGGGCAGGAGTCCTGCTGAACTGGTGGCGACAGTGTGTGGTCCGCCCTGGTCCAGGGGTGTACAGCCGCCAGGTCCCAACCCCCCTTGCAGGAAGCTGATGGGCTGGGCTGAGCCTCATTGGCCTTGGCCTCCCTTGTGGCTGGACTAGAAAAGCAAGGAAAGACCTTCCAGGAAATAGGGCACAAGCTCCCATGCACGGCAGCTGCCCCCCAGCTCAGGGTGGGAGCCTGGCCTGTAAGGCTCCCAGCTAGAGTGGGGGCTGCCTCTGGGCAGCTCCACACTCCTGTACACACACCCTGCCAGGACAGGGGCCACCTGGCTGTCCGCACCTCGCCGATCTTCTCTCCCTGAAACAACCTGTGGGTAACCCTGAGGGAGGGCCCTGTTCTTGTGGAGCTGCTCTGGTGCTATGGGTTTCTGACTTGTGCTCCGGCAGCATTCACACACAGCCTGGGCCCAAAGCTCCCTCACCCCATGTGGCATCTGCTGGGATCAGCTGGCCAAGTTGCCACCTCCTTGGGGTTAGCTCTGATGTCCCACAGGGGGTGCCGAGGCCAGGGGAAACAAGACCGAGGTGGCACCTTCCTGCAGATGCTGACTGTGGCTTGCTGAGGGAGCCTGGGAAACTGACCCGCCTCTCCAGAAACAAGGTTGGGCGTGTGTGACGGGGCCTCCAGCGGACAGGCTGATGGATTTGGAAATCGAGAGCTGTGTGGGGGTGGCTTCTGCCGTTGCCGTTGGCCCCTCCATGCTGGGTCTTCCTCCTCCCTCCTTCCTCTCTCTTGTAGGGGGACTAAACCCAGACAGCACTGAGCTACATCCCCTGCCCATTCCATCTGGGGACAGGCTCTCACCGGGTCACCAAGTTGCCCAGGCTGGGCTCACATGTGTGAGCCACTGTGTCTCAGAGCCCCAAGGACCACCCCAGGGAGCATGACGAGCAAGACCCAAGGATGGAGGCTCACCCTGCCCACCTGGTGCTCCTGTCAGTAGCACGCTTCCTGTGGCCCCTCCTGGCCCGCCCTACCCTGCAGCTCCTCCCTGTGGCAGCAGATACTGACCCCGCCTTCCCAATCTGATGGCCCCCCTGCCCCAGGCTCCCAGGCCTGCAGCAACGATGCTGACGTGGCAGGTGCTGTGACCTTTGCAGGTGACACAGAGAAACCCATCAGTGTTTCCCAGAGGGCAGGTGGGCAGGCGGCTGGCGGCTGGCGCTGCTGGGGTCAGGACCTGCCGGAGCAGGTCCCAGGATGCCGCCAGGTCTTCCTGCATGCTGTGGGTCAGGACCCATGACAGCAGCCTGTGTCACCAGTGGCCAGCTGTGGGGCAGGCCTGGGCCTGAAAAGCAGCCCCTCAGCTACCACTGGGTGGCGGGCAGCTGCCCAAGAGTGACAGGCTTGGCCAGGGGCCAACCCTGCTAAGGCATCTCATGTCCCAGGAGCTGTGCCTCCTCTGGGAGCCACCAGGAGGGTAGCTTGCTGCAGCTCTGCAGATCCCCGGAGCCAAGCGGGGCCTCCCAGACACAGGATGTGTGCAGACAGGGTCCAGATGGAGAAGGGGACCATGGTCCCCACAAAGGCACCTCAAGGTGGCTTTGCTTCGTAAGGGTGCATAGGAATCCAGCTGCCGCACGTACTACTGTTTGTGGGATGTGGCTTGCCTGGCCCTCACCATGCTTTCAAACTCTGAGACTCCTTTCCTCTTTGAGACAGCTGTCCAGGACAGAGGTGGGTGGGAAGACAGTCAAGGACAGACAAGTGGCTCCTGTGGGCTCTGAGTCTCGATGAGCAGCAGGACAAGGCACCCCGTGGCCCAGCACTGGTCTGATGCGCACACAGCACAGAGAGGGAATGGAGGTTGAGCAACCACCTCGGGGGCTGTGCGGCCGGCAGAGCCTGGGGATGCTGGGCCCAGGGTGTGGGGAGCAGCCACAGAGCCAGAGTCCTCACAGCCAATGGCCAAGGATGGAGCCCACTGCAAGGCTGTGGCAGGTGCTTGGAATCATTTATTGAAAACACTTTGAAAAGACAGAATAATTTATGCCGTGAACAGAACGGGAGCACTGACCAGTGTTTTCTGGCCTGACCACCACCAAACAGGCCCCTGCCTGGACCCTAGAACTCGGCTACAGTTGATTGGGATAGCAGCCACCAGGATGAGGGACGGGCAGGAGGCCACTGCCACGCGTAGGGGTACCAGGACCTTTTCCTGGCTGTCAGTGGAGAGAAATCACAAACAAGATCTCCACGAGCACAGTGGCTGGAGGCGCCACCTCTGGTGTGCCAGGCCCAGTGAGACCCCAGCCTGTCTGGCTCCAGCTGTGGCCCCTCACTCCTCCCTCTGCTTCCACACAAAGGTTATTTTTGATTGCTTTTTTTTAAAAAATATAACTTTGTAAATGCTCCATAAAAATACTATTCTTCCTAGTTAAACACAGATATTGCAATATGAAGTGTAACTGCTTTGTCTTTGCTCTATAAAACGTGAAAAGGTTATTACACGGGATAAGATAGAAAAACGCCAGGGTTTCTAAGTATCACAAAAGCCAGTACCAAATGCGCACGGTGGAAGCGTAGCCAGGGGCCGGGTCAGGCTGGGGTGCGGCCGGGCTGCTCCTCTGGGTCTCCTGCCGGAGCACAGCTGGGCACCTGGCTGTCACGCAGGGGCAGTGCCGTGGCTTGGAAAAGGCAGCCAACTGCTCCGAGTCCTACCAGCTGGCACCTGCCCCACAAAGCACCGATGACCCAGGGCTGTGGGCTGACACCCGGGCAGCCTGCTGACGGCTGTGGGGGCTTCTTGTCCCAAGAGCAAGCCCACTGGCCCAGGCTCAGGCGGGAAGCCAGCTGTGCCTTCAGTTCTCAGAGAGGGACAGGGCCAGCGCAGCCTGGAAGGCAGCTTCTTCATCAATGCTGTAGTCCTGGGGACAGAATGCGAGATGGGCTGGTGCAGCAGCAGCCCTCCCCTCACCTGGTCCCCCAGATGACCTCCTCTTTCGCCTGCACAGGACCCCTCCGGGGATGCCACTGCCCTTGCACAAGGTGACCCTCAGGCTCCTCCAGGGCAGCTGGGCCCCACAGTCTACAGAGGTCATTCAGCATGGCTATGGGTGGGGTCAGACATGAGGCTGGAGCTGTCCTTCACCTCAGAACTGAGAAATGGGGCCCTGAGACCTCCCACAGACAGGGACAGGGCAGAGGGGAGTCCTGGGCTGCACCAGGAAGAAGAGCGGGATGAAGGGTCTGACCCAGGCAGGTGGGGTGAGGAGTCCCCCTGGCCTCCATCAGTGCTGGACGGAAGCTGGTGGACCCTGCAGTCCCTGACACCGTGCTGGGGATGACCTCAGAGGGCAGGCATTCATCCCTGGCAGCTGTGGCAGGGCTGAGCACTTGGGGCCCTGGGAGGGGCACCCGCCAGGCAGGCGGGGAGGGGCACCCACCACGAAGGTGTCGTAGGAGAACTTGTGCCGATGTAGCAGGTGCTGCAGGAAGTTGGCGCTCTTGTAGCTCGGGTCGCCCCAGGGCATGGCTGAGCAGATGGGGCACACCTGGAAGACAGGGTCAGCGTGCAGGGTGTGGCAGGAAGTGTGGGCTCCCCGGCTGGGCACAGCCCTGGGACTGCAGCTTGCTCACTGCACACAGCTCAGACCAGGTGCTGCTGCAGCACTGCTACTACCGGGGGCTGTAGAAGGTGCCTGGGGCTGGCCCGAGCAGGAAGACGGCACCCAGCACAGCTGTGTCATTGGTGGGGACTCACCACTCGGTTGGGGTCGCTGCGGTGGCTCTCCACACAGTGCTTCACCAGCTCCTGCTGGTCCAGGTTGCGGGCGCCGCAGTAGGGGCAGGCAAAGGTGGACCTGTTGGGGATGTTGCTGTTGGGGAAAGAATGGGGTGGGTGAGGCTGGGACACTGCCACTGCCCCCCACTTCTCAAACATCGGCATGGCCCCAGCCTGCCCTGCCTCCCACTTTGAGCTCCAGACAGGACGAGCTGCAGGAGCATCTCGGTTGGCAGCTGGGAGGGGTGGGGCTGGTGCCTGGAGACCAGCCGGGCACTTGAGCACCACGCTGGGTCCTTTTCCTCCCCTGGAACCACAGCCCAGCCAGCCAGGGAAGGGGACAGTGCTGTCCCCAGAGGTGCTGTATCAATGTCCACCTGCCTTGCCTGAGCCCTCATCTTGGCTCCCATGCCTCAGGCGTCCCCAGAGCCACCTGGTTGCCAGGCATCCCCAACCACTTAGGGACCCACAGGATGCTGCCCACCTTGGAATGGGCTGGGATGTGGGCACCACGGGGACGAACTTGGGGCAGTTGGCCATCTGCTCCTGGACCTTCAGACAGGAGGACGCGTGTGCTCTCATCTTTGCCAGGGTCACCTAGGCAACAGAGCAGGAAGTGAGGTGGTCCAGAACGGAGACTGACTGCACAGCTCACACGCCATAGTGCCATCCCTGCTGCCTGCGACACCCAGAGGCCCAGAGCAGCAGGGATAGGCGGGCTGCATGGTGTCAGCACTTCCACGGGCCTTCTCCACGCAGCCCACAGCTTTGGGCAGCCCAAGCACCCCCACATCTGGGGGTTCTCCCCTGGAAAGGGACGGAGGGCGAGGGCAGGGTGTGGGCTTCCTCACTCCAGAGCAGCTGCACTGCTCAACAGGAAGGGGTGCAGCCCACGCACCCAGTGTTCTGCAGGATGGAGTTCCCGCCCGCCCAGGCCAGGCCAAGCGGCCAGTACCTTCTTGTTGCAGCCCCGGCAGGGCGCCTTGTAGGATGAGAGCTGCTTCTCCACATGGGTAGCTTTGTCCACTTTCTTGGGGTCAAAGGGAAGGCGGCAGAGCGGGCACAGGGGGGATGGCACCTGCAGGCACGGCTGGAGGCACTCCCCACAGAACCTGCAGGGGACACAGTTCTGAGGGCTGGCACCAGTAGGGCCGTTCCTCCAGCACCTCTCTACCTGAGCCCACCAGCTGACTAAATCATTTGCGCGGGTCCCTCCCAGCACAGGGCCCACTGTGGCGGGCATGCTGGACACAGTCATGGCTTACACTGCCCCAAGCCAGGTGTCCCTGCGGCCAGCAGCCTGACAGTGCTCATGCAACTCCTTCTCATGAGTGCAGGCAGAACTGTGAGGGTGTGACGGCTGGGGCTTGGGCAGAGAGCTCACCAGCAGGCACAGGCGAGGAATGCTGGACCTGGGTCCCACAGCACAGCCTCCTGGGGACAGCTCAGTTCCCCAGGTGGGAGGCGCTCCTGCTCAAGTGCTGTGCTCGAGCCAGATTAGGTGATGTGTTGGCACCACTGGGGCAGAGGTTCCAGTGGGCCCAGCGCTTCTGGCACCATTGCCTGAGGCCGTGCAGCAGCTATGCCACACAGTCCTCACAGATTTGGACTGGCAGCAGGAGTCAGGCTGCACCTGTCCTGCCCACACCTTCTGCTGCTCCGTAGACCCAGGGCAGCAGTGAGAGCAGGGGAGGAAGGGGAGCGGGTCACAGGATGAGCTCTGTGCAGCTGCACAGGAAGCACCGTGGGGACAGTGTGGCGCAGAAGGTGCCTGAACACGGGCACACTGAAGCAGCACCCCAGCCCTAGGACAACACCTGGCTGGAGCAGAGAGCCACCCAAGCCCAGCAAAGATGGCAACTTGTGGGTGATGGCACAGCTGGCAAAGCCAAGGGTCTGTGGGGTGGGGACAGGAGCTGTGCTGGATGGAGGGGATGCAAGACAGGGCCTGGGTTCACAGATGCCTTGGCTGTGGTCTGGGGTCAGAGTTCCCCATGTCAAGAGGCTTCATCCCCACAAGAAAAAGTCCTTCCTGGCAGGGCTTCAGGCAAAGCTAAGGCCATGGCAGGCCCCTCCTCTTCCCACATGCTGGCCTCTAGTGGGGCCACCTCACTTGTTACCTGCTTGTCACCTGGCCAGTCCCACGGCCCCGACTGCCCGTGACAGAAGACCAGGTCTCTCATAAGACAGGAAAGGTTTCAGGAGCTTTTCCTGCACAGCAGTGTGAGCCAGAGGGGTCTCCCAGGGCATCCACACTCCCATCCCTCAGCGACCCGAGTATTCCAGGATGTCCCTGTCACTGGCCCAGAGTCCGGTTAGCCTAAGACCGATGAGCCCTTCCTCCACCCAAGAACCAGAAGATGCTGGTGGATGACCTACACGAAGGCCACACAGCGTCCACAGCACTGAGGTGCAGTCACAATTCAGGGGAGGTTCTGGCCACGAGAAGGAGCCAAGCACTGATGTACGCTACACATAGACAATCCCTGCAAACACAATGTGAGGAAAAGAGGCCACAGAAAGCCACATACAGTAGAACACCAAGTGTATGTGTGGGATGCCCAGTGAGGACACAGCCATGGAGGCAGAAGCAGACCAGGGGCTGGGGAGTGGGAGGAGACTGGTTTCTCTTTTGGGGTGGTGGATGTCCTAAGTCATGGAGATGGCTCAGTAACCGTGAGCACCACAGAAACCACTGCACTCTACACTTTAAATGAGGAAGCAGTGAAGTGCTGAGTTCTACCTCAGTGAAGCTGCGCCCAGCCACATGAGCAAGCTCAGGCCAAGGTGTGGCCACTTCACTCAGCAGAAGGAAAAGTGTCCTTTGCAGAGCAGGGAAAGACAGGTCTCAAGAGGAATGGATGGAGGTCAGGTGCCTGGCACTGCCCACAGGGTGGTCAAGGACCTGCTTGCCTGCAAGGTGACTGTCTCCAAGCCTCAGCCCTTAAGGAGCAGAAGCGGAAGGAAGCATGCGGGTGGTGGGACACAGTGCTCAGCCAACTTTCATCACCACCTCCCTGTGCACTGGCAGCAGTAGCCGCAGCAGTGGCCACAGCAGGGCCAGCCTCTCCCACAGGAAGTTCGTGCCTGTGTCTGCCCAGAGCCTGGTGCCAAGTAGCTTCTCAGCCAAACGAAGTAGTTGAGGGTGGTGGGTGTGGGGCTAGCCCTTCCCCCAGACATCTGGGACACCACAGGGCACCAGCACCTGCCCCAGGCTCCTACACACATCAGGGAGCTGGGAGACCCCCAGGTCAGCAGTGGGTCCCCTTAGGAAAGATGTCGTGGGATGACACACAAAGGGAGCCACACAAAGGCCACACGTGTCCGTGGCACTGTCCTTACTTGGAGGCTCCTTGGTAAGCTTTGAGGCCAGCCTCACTGCTAGATCTACATGTGGCTCTTAGCCTGGGCTGCCCTTCGAGTGTGACAGACAGCAGTTCTGTCCCTGAGGGAGTTCCTGTAAGCTCCTCTGTGCAGCTCCACCAGCAGCTGCCTGCCCTCAGCTTGAGCCAGAAAGCTCTCCCTACATCCTTCACTCTGTCTGGGTGCCAGAGAGCAACAACTGCCTCACAAGGCCTCCTCTCACTGCAAGGAAACCAGATCTCAGGAAGGAACCTGCTTCTGGTCAGGTGAAAGGAAACAACCAGACCACGAGCGAACTTGTTAAGACGTGAGAGCCTCTAAGTTTCCTGTGCTCATTTGCTCATGTGCCTTAGCTATACAGACAGACTTCAAGAAATCAGAGGTGGTCAAGAACAGCCAGGAAAACAAAGCAGCACAGAAAGCCGGGAGCTCATCTTTCCAAGGCAGAGGCTGTGAGAACGCTTAAGAAAAGATGTTTTTTATCCCAGAGTCTTGTGTCCTGTCAGGCAGACTGCATTTTAAGAAAACACATATGTGGGAGGTGGGGAGCAAATACTGGTTTGTGCAGACAGACTAAGACACCAAGAGTGCTGTGGCCTGCTGTGGTGACCAAGTGGTCACCAGGCCAAGTCAACGCAAGACTTTCTAAAATAGGGCCAGACAAGCCTCATAGCCCCTCAACAACAGCTGGAAGCCGCACAACACATCTTAAGACACCCACTTGCCTGTGCTCACAGAAGTCAGTCCCAGTCAGAGGCTGCCCTGCCACAATGCTGCAGCAGACAGAGACTTGAGTGGGAGCGGCGCCCCCACAAGATCAGCAGGGCTCTCTGGGTGAGCAGGCCCCGTGCTGCCTGACACGGGCAGGGAAAGCATCAGTGCATCCCGCCACCCTCCCTGCCAGCCCCAGGAGGAGGCATGACTGGCAGGCGCACGCCCACCAGCAGTGGGAGCTCCCTTCGCATCAGGAGCCTCCCAAGTCAGCTGCTTTTGTTTGCAAAATGTTCTAGGGCCTCCTACCAGCCTGCGTGCACCTTGCCCAGCTCCCATGCCCCTGACAGCCAACAGCCGCACCTCCTCAGCAGCAGGGCCATCAGCGGGGAAGCCCTCCTGCTTGCTCTCCGCACCCTGCCAGCCCTCAGGAGGGGTCTAGAAGCACTCTCTGACTGGTCCCCTCCCACTAGGCTGGAGCTGCAGACAACGTGAGCACAGCTCCCCAAGGTGAGAACCACAATCTCAAGTTTCTGTTCCTGAAACAGCTCGGCCAGAAAGTAAAGCTACAGAACTTGCTTGGTGTCTGGACCCGTTTGTCAGCCCACCTGGCTGCTCAATGCTCCATGTGACCCAAGTGCTCCTTCAAAACGAAATAGCACAGAGCTCCAAACACGCCCCTCTCCTAAATGTAGGGAACTCCCTTCCTCTGTAGTCAAAACGACCAGACAGGAGGGCGAGAAAGAGTTGAGAGCAAAAGCTACAAGTCATTTATTGACAACTGCCCGCCTAGCGTCGACATGACCAGACCCCGGCGTTGGACGCAGCGGCAGCGACCAAAGCCTGAGCTCCCGGCCCGCCGAGGCCGTCCGCCGGG